GCAGTCGATTGGTATTTTAGCGGTAATGTATATCATTTGCGTATTGACTTTCAAAACTATGAAAAAGGGAGATCACTCTTAGGCAATGAAAATAAATTAAATTGATTACAACAACATTCTCGGTTTTTATTGAGTCTAGTTTTTGACAGACATGTTAATGTGTAACATCATTGAAGCCCCCTAGCACCGGCGTAAACGGTATTTAATGCTTAACATAAAAGTATTGGAATCAATAATGCCGAAGAACCACAACAAATAATCTTGACTGACATAATTCAAAGACTAGCTTGCCCCGAACGCAAAAAAAATAGCTGTATTAAGTACAAGCTTCGAACCAATTCATTTTTTCATTTAAGTACATGTTATACGTGTATTATTCAGAGGCTGATTTTTCATTTAATATATATATATATATATATATATATATATATATATATATATATAAATATATATATATATATATATATATATATATATATATATATATATACATATATATATATTTGCGGCGTGGCCGAGTGGTTATCGCGTCGGACTAGTGCTCTAAGGATTGCCTGGTTTAAACCCCGTCAGAGGCAAACCATTGTTTCCACTCATTGCTCAATACACTAATTGGTTCAAGGAACGGTTTCGAGAGTGTTTCCATGTGCTAATAATTACTATTACACAGTCTGGTATTCATGCACGTAAAAGAGGTTGCATCTATTATTATCTCTTTTGAAAATACTCCCTCAAACAGTCTCCATGTTCTTGTTTGTTTGGGATTTTTGGAGGTGTTGAGGTGTTAACAAATTTCCAGAATAAAAAAAAACGTTCCCTTTAAATCCCAAGCGGAAATGAACAGTGATTGAACTAATTTAACACTGATTGAGACTCTAAACAATTGTTTTCATTTTTTTGAAACGGACTTTCCCTTTTTTGAATTCGGAACAGTCCATTCAAGGTTAAAGGGATTTCAAATTCAAAACAAACCAACTGAACTACCATCAGTGAACGTATGTGCAGACTACTATGCTCTATACTGGTATCAATAAAATACGGAATGTGCCGATGATTAACGATGATTAACGAACTGATGATATTTTCAGTTCCTGGCTGGATGAATGCAAAGTTGTCGGATCAAATCCCGGTTCGAGCTCATGTTTTTGGGACTGCCGTAATGAAGAATGGACAAAAGCGCAAATTCGATCACATGTACGAATTTTCTTATCTTAACCTACAACCACAAGGTGTTCATCTGTACGATCTACAGGTACGAGTTTGTCTTATTAAATTGCATGTGATTTTTTTTAATTCACAGGGCTGAATTATTATATAGAATTAGATAATGTGTTATTTATATATAAATAATTTTTGAATCCCTTTCCAGGATATGACCAGAACAGATGCCACACCAGGAAGCTGGTCGAGCCTGTAATGGAATTTACCATCCCACGGTTGAGCTGCAAACACAACTTTCACTTTCTTTTACAAAACATTTGCTAAGTTGAAATCGTGAATTCATGAAGTTTAAATCGTATAATTTAATTGTCGTAAAGCTGAAATTATGAATTCGTGAAGTTGAAATCGTAATTTCTTTAATGACGTATGTTGAAAACGTGAATTCACGAAGTTAAAATTGTGAATTCACGAATACGAATTTGGGAATTTATGTTGTTGTAATGTCTCAACCGATCTGCCGTAACAGTCACTTCATTTTCTTATTTCTATATGCTTGATGATTTATAGAAAGATAGTCTTTTCCATTTCATAACAAATAACATTATAATATTTATCTTTTATCGTTATTTAGACACCAACCGGTGTGTACTGTCCCCGTGCAAAGAATACCAAAGCATTGCCTACACCGTCGTCTGCCTTCCATTTCACATCTGAAATCATATACGGCCAGTCCATTTCGAGAATAAAGGTAACTTGAATTTCTTTATATTTATGTTCAGCAACATATATAATCTTCTTTTACGTTTAGAAACGATTCATAATTACTGAAATATAATTTTTTCATGGACAATTTGGTAATGTGTTTGCATCAACAGAACTAGTACAACGGCTTGTTTGAATGGCTACTGGTTGGGGACCACCAAAACCGGACAACCACCAAACCCGGACGGCTCCAAAAATGCTAAATTTAGTATTTTCTTTGTTCAGTGGTTGTCAGTTACTTTTTATCAACAATAAATGCATGTTTCTTCTAAAATTAAGTAAACAAATTTATTTCAACCTCCGTAAATGGTAATATTTTAATGTCCATTTCAAGAATGTTGAAGATGAAATTTGGGGATCAAGAAAGCAATGCCCGACCTCATGTACCAACTATAATCATTTGCAAAGTAAACAATAGAATATCCAAAACTTCAGCATTTGTTGCTGAAATATTGTATAACATGTTAAAAATATAAAATAAAAACACCCAAGCTTTAATCTGAATTAAGTCACATCATGTACATATATGTCCGGACACATGGTACTGTAGTGAAGACATTTTAGGTAATTTTTATACCCCCCTTTTCGAGCCTCAGATATAAGTGTCAATACAATCAGAAATAGACAAACTAGTTTGTTAGTTAGGAGAAGAACCTAGCTGAATTGTTTCAAATTTTTAGGTCTCTAGGTTAAAAATTATGAAATCTGTACGGAAAAATGTTCAAAAAGTGTCCGGTTGATGGTCCTCGACCAGTAGAGGTATGACGTCATTTTAACTTAAAGTTAAAGATAAACTTCATAAACAAGCGATATTTCACATCAATTTACCTTATTTACGTTTCACGCAACCAATTTTTAATTATTCTTTTCTGATATTTTAATTCCGGTTTGATCACTACTATTTCTGGTTTTGAACTTATCTATTTCCGGTTCAATTTAGGAATACTTCGATTTCGATCTAAACCTTGTTCGATACGACTACGATCCAATTGGACCCGAAAAGAAATTTGGTTCTTTACCCCTGACACAAGTTCATGATTTTAGTACAGGTAAAGTGGCATACACCTTTCACCAACTTATAAATCACACCTTCTTCACTTATACGACGTATTTAGAATTATCGTACCCCACAATGCACCCACACACCCTTATGTTAGATGATATTTTAAACGCACCCAAGTAAAACACAGAATTTTTGTTTGCTTGCATAAGTATAACCCTTTATAATTTCATCGTCATTAGCTTTCAAAAAAGAAAGTGGAGTTGTACTGGTCCAGATAAATAGCTATAACACTGCTAAATTTAAAAGAAGTTGGGCAATCTGATTAAAATCAGCTCTTAAATAGCTCTTCATCTGACGACCACCAATATGTTGTCACCTTCTCAGCCAATCATCGGCGAGCTTTCACAATTTTGAAGGCGACGCGGTTTTTAATTTCAATCGCTAAAAAAACAAATACTAAGAAGGTAATTTTTCACGATTTCCAGTCTATTTTTTATTTCAATTGTTTCACATTACTTCAAACAAAAATCAAAAATATGTTTTACTTCCACGGACAACGGTAATTTTGAAAAATATATTTATTGATTTCAGCTACCAAATGCTTATTGAAAAACCTTTGGTGTTATAATTCTTATTTTTAAGGCGTGGCCTACGTCATTGACCAATTGCGTGGCAACTGTACAGCGACACCTATCAGCGGCACAGGATTTGACGTCAGAAACGCAAATGACCCTTCACATGTGAGAATTCGAACTTCGAAGGAGTTTTTCTATTTCGACAAGGCCTCATACATGTACGAAGGAAGGGTGAGCATGCAATTATGCAAGTCTAATTTATAGTTCCACCTCAAGTGGGCGTGACTCCATTTCCATTTCCTTGCAGGTCGAACATGCAATTATGCAAATCACATTTAATTTTTAGTAAGAAGGCGTGACTTAAATGTCTATTTTCCTGAAAGGTGAGCATGCAATTATACAAATTTATTAATAGTCCGACCTCTTTTACCTGGAGGGCGTGATTTTTAATGAATATTTTCTTGCCGTCCTGACGACTTCAGAACAAAATGAGTGATAATATGTTGAAGATAAAGAAGTTATGATACAAGCAAGGACAACAACAATTTAACATGCTTCAAATCATTATTGCCTTCAAAGGCTTAAATTTGAACAATGCCTCGTAAAATCAGTATGTTACTTAACTAAAACTTTCGAAAATTAACGATTGGTATCAAACTGACTTAAGCACTTATTGCACTAACAATAAAGATTTCCACTGAAACTTATTTCGTAGTATTTCGATTAATCTTTAACACTGGTTTCAAAATGGTGGAATGTTGTAAAATTGGGATTTTCTATTTTCATGCCATCTGTCTCAAAATACAGCATTACGAATTCAATTTAACGAAACATTTTACAAAACTTTCGCCTGAAAAAAAATGAGATAAGTTCACAGATTTTTTAAAGATTCTTATTAAATTTAATTTATCAAATTACGGATTGACACTTTTTAAAAATATGTTATTGTACAGAAAAATTGACTTATTTTTAGAGAGTTGTACGGGGTATAAACAGTGACGTATGGATAAGCCAAAGAAATGATTGGCCGGCACCTGGCTCTTCAAACTCGACATGGGAGTGGTATTTTGCTACAGTAAGTTGTTTAGCCGATCTTTTAGAGCCCGGAAGGTAGCTACCGTATGTTTTTAAGCCATTGTTAGTAAGCGTCATGGGATGCTGTTAAGCTACATAGTTCTAGAGGCGTCTAAAGTAGTTTCGAAAAGTAGTAACAGTACGTTGTCAAAGCGGTGCTGTTGGGGGGGAGGGGGAAGTGGAAGGGGGTAACGGTTAGTTGTCTAGCCAGTGCTAGTGGGGGCGTGGAAGGGGGTAACGGTTAGTTGTCTAGCTAGTGCTAGGGGGGTGTTGAAGGGGTAACGGTAAGTTGTCTAGCCAGTGCTAGTGGGGGCGTGGAAGGGGGTTACGGTTAGTGTCTAGCCAGTGCTAGTGGGGGCGTTGAAAGTGGTAAGGGTAAGTTGTCTAGCCAGTGCTAGCTGGGGCGTGGAAAGTGGTAACGGTAAGTTGTCTAGCCAGTGCTAGTGGGGGCGTTGAAAGGGGTTACGGCTAGTGTCTAGCCAGTGCTAGTGGGGGCGTGGAAAGTGGTAACGGTAAGTTGTCTAGCCAGTGCTAGTGGGGGCGTTGAAGGGGTAACGGTTAGATGTCTAGCCAGTGCTAGTGGGGGCGTGGAAGGGGGTAACGGTAAGTTGTCTAGCCAGTGCTTGTGGGGGCGTTGAAGGTGTAACCGTTAGTTGTCTAACCTGTGCTAGTGGGGGCGTGGAAGAGGGTAACGGTAAGTTGTCTAGCCAGTGCAAGTGGGGGCGTGGAAGGGGGGTAACGGTTAGTTGTCTAGCCAGTGCTAGTGGGGGCGTGGAAGTGGTAACGGTTAGTTGTCTAACCAGTGCTGGTGGGGACAAGGAAATGGTAACGGTTAGTTGTCTAACCAGTGCTAGATGGGACGAGGAAGTGGTAACGGTTAGTTGTCTAGCCAGTGCTAGAGCGGGCGAGGAAGTGGTAACGGTTAGTTGTCTAGCCAGTGCTGGGAGCGGGCGAGGAAGTGGTAACGGTTAGTTGTCTAACCAGTGCTAGTGGGGACGAGGAAGGGGGTAAAGGTTAGTTGTCTAGCCAGTGCTAGTGGGGGCGTGGAAAGGGGTAACGGTTAGTTGTCTAACCAGTGCTAGTGGGGACGAGGAAGGGGGTAAAGGTTAGTTGTCTAGCCAGTGCTAGTGGGGGCGTGAAAGGGGGTAACGGTTAGTTGTCTAGCCAGTGCTAGTTTGAATGTGGAAAGTGGTAACGGTAAGTTGACTAGCCAGTGCTAGTAGGGGCGTTGAAAGGGGAAACGGTAAGTTGTCTAGCCAGTGCTTGTGGTGGCGTGGAAAGTGGTAACGGTAAGTTGTCTAGCCAGTGCTAGTGGGGACGTTGAAAGGGTAACCGTTAGTTGTCTAACCTGTGCTAGTGGAGTTTCGTATTTCCTATTGTATTTTGTATTGATTTCACATTTATTTTTGTATTGATATTTTATTTTTGATTATACATTGAATTTTGTAATTTTTGTGTATATATTTGATTTTTGTATTGATTTTTGTATTTATTTTATATCAATTTTTGTATTGATTTTTGTATTTATTTTTGTATTGATATTTTCATTGATTTGATATTGATTTTTGTACTGATTTTTGTGATGATTTAATATTCATTTTGCATTCATTTCATATTGATTTTTGTATTGACTTATATATTTATTTTTGTATTGGTTTCATATCGATTCTTATTGAGTTATATATAAATGTATGCATTAATTTCATATTGAATTGATTTTTGTATAAGCACGGGGGAGGAAGTGTTACACGAAGGATGGAGTTCTTATGATAACTTGTTTGGAGTTCTTATGATAACTGTCACGGAGTTCCTGGAAAACGTTACGGATTTCTGTGGGAAACTTTTCTATATACTTGGAGAACTTGCGTAAAAAATGGTTATTTTTAACTTTAAATGGGGAGTTTGAGGTGCTAAATTAAACTCTGATAATTAAGCTTGCCCTACATATTGTATTATGTTTCAGAAAAAATCTTTTAGTCCATATTTCGTCGCCGTTTTAAAAAAAATCTGGTAGTTTTGAGAAAAATTTCCAAATTACTTGCTAATTCGTACATATTGACCTTTTCATTTGAGATCTTCTTCGTTGCTATACTTAATTACCTAATTATTATGGAGAGTTGCAAACATAAAGCCCAGGCTAATAAATTTATACCCGATTTTTCAATGTTACGGAGTTCTTGCGATAACTCAAAATATGTCCTGCATGGAGTTCTTATGATAACTTTTGTTACTGCCAGTGTGTTTTTGTGCTTAATCACGGCACGTTTAAGCGTATTTTATTAGTCAATTAGTGTGTAAATCATTATGAAGCATAGTACGCTTATCATTTGCACAACAATTTGGTTATATAACGTTGGTTTTGATCGTGTTTTTCAGTTCAAGAGATATTTTTCTTACATCCGTTTCTTGTGTTTTTTGTGTTTGTTTTGGTCTTTTTGTGTGTGTGGTTTTTTTTTTTATTTTATTGGAATGACTGTAAACATACTTGATGTAGAGCATTTACTTACAGGATAGTGAATTTAATACTCAAGCATGATTTCTTCATATATACATTATTCCTTGCAGTTTTAGAGAACATTAAGTAACTATGCTATCGGTATGCATGTAAATGATTTTCAGCAAAATAGAAGGTAGTATGAGGTGAGTGTCGTCTTTATGTATTCAACGGGTATTTCAATTTCTAAAAGGTATCAATTTTTGTCATAGAAACGTATAAAGTTCTATGACAACGATATGACAATGGAAAGTAAGTCTTAAATAATATATGTGAGTTACCGTAAGGTTCATGCCGTTTATCTAATAATATATGTGAGTCACCGTAAGGTTCATGCCGTTTATCTAATAATATATGTGAGTCACCGTAAGGTTCATGCCGTTTATCGACCTTGTTCCTTTCTCTATTAAATCTAATGTGGCATCACGTGACGTACAGCAATCTCCATATTTCGGAAAATTACTGCATACATTTTTCTTATCAAAGTTTGAGTCCTAGTTGTGGAAATTTTGCAACAACTTTTGCTTTAATTGATTACAAAAATATATTGTCGAACTTCTTTCGCTCGAACACGTAGGGCACGTGCAAATCTGTCGAAGAGATCGGAAGTAATCGGTTGATTTTTTATGCATAAAAAGATCATACATTTCGGGTGCATGGGTGTGAAGGGTATCCCGGTTATATACGATACATGGTATATAATGATACAATTTACTTAGCCGCTTCTTGAGGGAACCCCAACTACTTATTGTCTGCTTTAGAAAGGTGGTTGCTTAAAACATGTAACTGAGAAAAAAGTGTAAGTTTAAAAAAAATTTTCCTTTGCGGTTTAAGCCATGTTACTACTGAATACTGGTGACCGCTGATTCATGTTTTCCTGAAGATTTTTGTTTGTTTGTTTCATTTTACGCCTTTTCCCAACAGTATTTCAGTCATATGGGCGGGTAGTTTCCTAACAATCGTTCCTAGAGAGTAACACCAGTACTAGACTACCTTCCTCCGTGCCACACTACCAAAGCATCTCCCGGGGATCGAACCCACGCCAAAGAGGTAACTGGATTAGAAGTCACAAAATTTTTCTCAAAACTACCAGATTTTTTTAAAAAGGCGACGAAATATGGACTAAAAGATTTTTTCTGAAACATTATACAATATGTAGGGCAAGCTTAATTATCAAAGTTTAATTTAGCACCTCAAACTCCCCATTTAAAGTTAAAAATAACCGTTTTTACGCAAGTTCTCCACGTATATAGAAAAGTTTTCCACAGAAATCCGTAACGTTTTCCAGGAACTCCGTGACAGTTATCATAAGAACTCCAAACAAGTTATCATAAGAACTCCATCCTTCGTGTAACACTTCCTCCCCCGTGATAAGTTTCATATCAAATTGATTTCAAATTAATTTTGTATAGGTATTTTATTTATTTATTTATTTTTTTTTTAAATTTTGTATTGATTTTTTTAATATTGATTGTTATATTAATCTTTGTATTTCAGCCTAACTATACAGAGATGTTGTTACAGAAACCGTCGTTTGGAATACCAGTTAGAATGGTATTGGATGCAGGATTGGTAAGTGAAAAATGTTTAAAATATTGTATTTCGTCTCAAAATGTTTAAAACCACAATTAGCCACAAAATTGCTACTTTTTTTCTTTTAAAGAAAAGATAACACTGGTTTTATATTCAAATTTTTGATATTTTATTTAGCCCATGATAGCAGCTTATCTTGTAAAATAATTTTGGCCTGCATGAGAGACTGTTTGTCATAAATGTAGCCATATATAAAGAAAGTAAAAATATTTCGTGTTTCAGGCATATTTAATTTATTTAATTAACTTTACCATATTATTGTACGGAAATGTCCGAAAACTACCGATTGACATCGATCCCATGCTCGGATTTTAACGGAAAACTCCGACAATTCTTCTTTCATCTTTCAGGGTCAGCACTATATATACAATATTTACGATTACGACGAAAGACGACCTTCAATCTGGTCGTACGATATCAGTAACTGTTTCAACTATACTGAGCGGAAAGATTTTTCTTTCAAATTACCAGGTTTGTATGACGTCACTTCCTGTTACACTTTGCGTCAATTACGCACGTGCATTTTGTATATTCAGTTGATTCTCTCTAGGGATATCAACATAATGGTAAATTTCAACAAATACCATTGTATACGCTGTGTATCCTGGAAGTAATCCAAATTGTTACTGACTATCTTAAGAATAAACAGGCAATTCGTATCGCTCAAAAAAAATATTAAAAGAAAGCACTAAAATAATTTAACTGTAACAGATAGCGTTTCATGATTATATAATATGTAAATATCTTTAGCCGTTACCGGAAGTTGACTATTAACCGGAAGTGAATTTTTCAGGAAACTTCAGGAAGTTGGTGAGTGGTGACATGGAGATATTCCGGTACGGCGTACTCAAAGCAATTATCGCCGCTGGTTCTGTCAACAAATTACAGCTCTCATCTCTCCGCATTTACAATATTAAGGTAAGTCTAAGATATACATTTTTTGTTTTCTTGAAAAAAAAAAGTAAATTGCTTCTGAAAGCATAGAGTTGGCACAAACACTTGGTGCGTTGAGCTCAAAACGCATGTAAGTTCCAAATTAAATGTAGATTGGTCAATCTTAGCAAATGAACGTATCATATATATGAAGAAAAAAAACTTAATATAAACCGTTTTTGAAATCCATATTTCAACGTCTATTATAATACACAAGATGAAAACATTCGCACACCTACCGTCAAAATCCTTATGTATCTTATTACAATTCCAATATTTTCATATAATGCTTTAGTCCGTCGACACAGAAGATATAATCTCCACGATGATTATCAGTTTTAAACAACGACATCTTTGTAAACAACGCAACAGGCGAAATAAACATCAACATTATCAGCGTTTTACTCTATTTACAAAATCTTTCGACAAATTTAAAATTGGCTCCCTGCTTTGCCGTTTCAAATGTGCCGCGCTTTGAAAGTGAAAACCAGTCTGGCTATAGTCGGTGTCATCCGGTAATATGTTGGTTCCCATATTTAAAGCGAGGGAATTAAAATGCGTTTTCAGCTCCACACCCCAAGTGTCTGTGAGAATAAAGATAACATATATTTCTGATATAGGGGTTTTACAGTACAACATCTTTTTAAGAACTTTCATTTCCCCCGAAAGGGGTCCCCTTTTTAACAGTTTGCTCGTAAATATTCGTACCTTTGGGCCTTTTTTTTTTTAAAGGGAAAAAATGTTTTCCACAATTGATTAAATATGTTTTAATTTTGTTTTTTATAACAGAATTTTTTTTCGACAACAATGATATCATCGTGCCCAATTTACTCTTTTACAAAACCCCTCAAATTTAACATCATTTTTTTTATGTTTAGTTTAATCTAAAAAATTACAACATATAAAATGTATATTGCAATTATGCCTCGGAAACAAAAAAAAACCGTTTAGTAACTAAAAGAGTTTTTAATGTTGAAAACAATTTGGTTTTAAAATGTGTGTCTTTTAAGTTTTTATGAAATAAGCGCTGAATGTTAAATTATGATTGTCATAAGTATAACAAAAATGCGATCAAAATAGTGTTTTCTCTCTAATACAAAAAAACGAAAAAACTATAACTTTATTAATTGCCAATTCGACAAAAGGAAAGAGTTCAGGTCATTGGCCAATTAGTACCGTTTTAGAATACTATAGGAGTACATCAGAAAAAAAACAAACTTTTATGTGATAAAGATAAACACGCATGTTTATAATACAATGGGCCTTTAATGAATGTTCAAATTTGCTAATAAAGGAGCATTCCATTTTTTAAGGGCCTACATGTGTAAAAATCATTGAATATCACTATTCGAAATTTATTTACGGCTAATAATTACAGACCTTCATTGCAATGTGTCATTTATGTTCTTAACCCATGTATATGAAGGTTTGTGAAAATACCTTTTTTCAGGTGACGTCAGTAATCCCAAAAAAGAGAACAGCCTCGCTGTGGTCGCCAAAGCCATTTCCGGTGCTATAAATAGCGGTCAACTTATTGTTAGCTTGCAACTTCCTTCAGCAACGGTTTGTTTTATATTAGAAAATGATTAAACAACATGCTTTCGTTTAATTTTCATTAGAGAACAATTTATGAAGAATTTGTATGACAACATTATCGTTTTTTTATAGATAACCGATCGATAATTTGTCAAATTTTGAATCGCTTTGTGGCGAAAATTATTACGTACATGTATTGTAGTCGCGTAACATTCGGTATTCATTGTCTTTTTCATAGACACCAATTTGAAGCAAAAAAAACTGTCAGTTATCTTTATTCAGTTTTACAACTTTGCTACACATTTTAAACGTTTCCTTATTTTAATAGGCTAACATGGTAGCCAAAAAATATTCACTGACTCCTGCCGGATTGTGAAAGATGCATACTATAAGCAAACAAAACAGGCAAGCAAACACAACAACCGGTGTTTCGGTGGTAAGCATTTTTAGTCACATTTCAATTGGTCCCATGACTTAAAAACACGTATCAAGTATATCCAGACAGAGATGGGTAAAATTCATTAAAATCTACTTTTTTGAGTCGATAGTTTGCAATCAATTATTACAACTTTAAAGTTACATAGAAGAACATAATATGTTCAGGGAAATAAAGATGAACTTGAATTTTAAGGTTGAATTTTAATCAAACAATGACTTGGATAAACCTGCAAATCAGTGTGGTCGACAAATAGCCTGTTTTCATTTTTGTTTGGGGTTGTTTTTTTTTTTTTTTTTTTTTTCCTTTACTAGCTTTCTTTTTTGGGGGGGGGGTCTTCTTCTTTTTCTTTTTTAATTTTTCTTTTTTTCTCGTCTGTTCTTTTTTTTCTCGGAATGCTTTAATTCCGGTCTCTATGCTATATGAATATAGTCACCTTTCAGAAATGCATGATAAATATGTTTTCTTGTATCTGTATTATGCTTGATTTCTTAAATCATTTCAACCAAAGATCTGATTGTATGGAGAACATGTGTGTGTTTTAGTAAAAAATGACTTAACATCAATTTAAAGAGCTTTGAGCTCGTTGAAATATCGGAAAGCTCTCACATAATAATTGGATTTTGTTTAATTTATATGAATTATCATTTATACTTCGCAGTGTGTTTTGAAAATGAAAAATTATTTATGAATAAAAAGTCTTCATCATCTATTTTTATTACAGGAGTAATGGCGGGAATGGGCGTGGCTTTGTTAGTAGTTTTCTTCGTCGTAGGCGTGGCCGCAACATACTTCTACTATAGAAAACAAGGCGGAGCTTTTGGACCAAAAAATTTTATGCCCCGGAGGATATTACAATACTGCACGCATAATCATCTTAAAACGTTACAACGTCATTGTTGTGACGTCATTTACAATGCCAGTTAGTGTGTTTTCGTCATAAAGGAAGATGAATTGAAGTTTTTGATTTTTACATGTTTAAGTAACGTTTACTTAGTAATAAAAGTGCGTTGCATTTTAAATGTTTAGCCGTTGATAAAAGGGTACGAAGCTGTGATTACTATTATATATATGTGGTCAAAAACAAAACTGTTTGTCTACATACCAAAGAACGGGAATTTGAAAGAATGGTGTTGCGTTTTTATTTGGAGCAATTGAGTATGTCTCTATGCATATTCATCGTTCAAGTCGCTGATGTGGAACTTGCAGTTCAATGACCCTCTATATGACGCTAGACTCTTTAAAAGAGCAGTATGTATATTATTTCCTTCCAAAGTTTAGATTTACAATTTATTCTGCTTCTGGTGTGGCACCTTTTAGAGGAACAACCAAAATCTTCCAAGCCGGGAGCTCTGCAGGGTTCTTCTGTAATGCATACATGTATTTTATCAGGAAATGTTTTATTCTTAATAACTTATTTATACATATGCGTTAAATAACAATGACACTGTCTTAAACTTTTGCTAAATGACTATAATTGTATGAAAATTAGGATTATACCGTTTCTTCGATACATTTTATGCTTTATACACTATCAGTTTTGAAATATCTTCTTTCCCCACATAGATTTTTTCCCTCCTGCAGGTCTTTTCTTATAAAATTTACGCTTAAGATAAGATTATTGCTTTTTACATGTTTTGTCAATTATATTATAATTTTAGAAATACTGACTCTCAAAATGTTTGCAAATTGGGAAAAGGGAGGTCATTTCTCTTTCTTTTTTACATCAGGAAAAATTTATTAAAAAGACATGTAATGATGAAAAAATAGTTAATATAACAAAATAAGGTCGCTTACTGGTGTAATGCATACAACTTCTTATTTGTTTTCTGTTAAAGCTGCATGCCTCCATGTGAGCAAAAAAAAACATAAAAACACAAACTTAAGAAAAATGAACTAGGATTTCAAAAACAATATATAGATGATTCAAGATTCAAGAAATAGTTTGCATGCATATGTTTCTGCAATTAATGACCGGTTTTTCAGAATTTATCACCGTATTTCTACTTGCGAGACTAACGCAGTCATCGCTATTTTTGTATGTTTTCACCTCATTTTTGTGTAATTTAGGGGGACTGTAAGTGTTGGTTGCTCTTCTCGGATTACTTTTTTCGTTTATTTCACAATATTTTCCTTTTTAATTCATTTTCAAAAGTTTTATTTATTTAAAACGAACATGGAGGCATGCTGCTTTAAGAGTGTATATCATTTTCATGTAATTTCTTGTGTTCTGTTTGTTTTGGGAAAGTGCAATTTTTGTTCGTACTATGTACATACATGTAACAGTGAGTGTTTAAATAAAAGGATTTGTTTATTATTCTTCCGCCACTTTATTTATTTGTTTGTTTTAAAGTGTGTAAGAAAACTGGCAATTATAATGAAAAAGTGCAATATTTGTTCGTACTATGTACATATTAAACTGTGAGTGCCTAAATAAAAAAATGTTCTTTTTTTCTTTAACTTGTTTTTCCTGACTACAAAGTCTTTGTCGACTGATAGAAAGTGCAAGGATACAGCCTCCTTGGAATTGTATGACTGATATAGTTTTTATAACATTTACATTGTATCGTCATTTTCAAAATTTTGTAAAATGTTAACAAGCCGGAGCCATTATTGTTAAAAGGAAAACCGGGTGAGCATCCGCTGTGAAATTACATATCAGATCGTATTAAAATAAACATATTTGTTTGAGATCGACTGCGAAATATGCACCCTTTATACTTATACTGAACACTTTCGAGTACGCTTCCTGCATGGTTGTAAAAAAAGTGCTGGTGTTCATATAGAAACTATTGTTTTGGTCCGAGTAGTGCTCGAAACTTTAAAAACTTGGGTGAGAGGCCGATCCACAAACCCCTTGGATATTGTATCTTAAACACATACTATTTAAGGAATCATGTCTATTTTTAGAACAGGCAAAATGTCTCTACAATAATCATAAAATGCCCGGATTAGATACATGTATTTTTTTAAAAGTGATTAAGTTTAAAACCTCCATTATGGCCAATATTTAATATTTTAATCATATATTCATAAAATTCAGTTTGATATCAACCAAAATAATTTATCTACCGTGAATAATTTCGACCTTTTTGATAAAGTTCGATAATAGTGCATAACAAAGAAGATACGGTCATATATCTATCTCTTTATATGTATATACGTGTACATGTATATTTAATTTATGATCGATACGGCGTACAGACGGACAATGTCCATTGAGTAGTGAAGAATTGAAAATGAGGGATTTTATATTGTAAGTGTTAAAAGATTTTTCATATGTGTATTTCATTTTTGAATATACTTTCTTAAATAAAATAATTAAAATCATGGATACATTTTTATCAATAACATTTATTGAATGAGATAAAGTTTATATGCTTATAATATGTATATAATATGCTTATTATTTGTTTTAAATAATTTTACACAGACGTTTGACAAAATGGTGAAGAAATATTTAGAGGGTTTCGATATGCATTTACGAGTATACTGCGAAACGGCACACGTTTTTCTTTTCCTCTTGAAATTTGACTTAGCTTTAATCATTTTGTTAGTTCGGAAAAGTTCGGAAAACTTCGTCTTTTTCCGTTCATATCAACGTCAGCTGACCAAGAGTAACATTACATCTTGTCAATCAAACGCTTTCTAAAATAAATAATTAAAGGGATACTC